GAGAACACTTTTGCGCTTTGCAATTGGTCAAAAATTTCTGACACAGTCGGGACTGGGACTGGCTTGTTTATAGTCACAGTGTTTGTTCGGCGGAACCGAAATTTACCGTTGGGCTTTTTGACGAGTTTCTTCAATGATTCCTTCTTTCAACATTTGTTTGGCCTGCCGCTTGACTTCGTCCTTCAAGTGTAGTGGAATTCGGCGTGAAACATAGGACCGGAATTTTTTTGCCTTCATTGGAATTTCGTGTTCCACCCAGTTACAGAAACCGTACGAGTCATTATCACCTGTGAAGGGGTGGGAGTATCGTTGCACCACTGGCCGAAATGAAGGAGATACATTCGTGTGAGTTGTTTCTGTACTCACGACTGACAACTTCTTCCTTTTAGAGTGTGACAGCGGGATCGTGCCGAATTCGGTAACAAGCTGTTCGTTGTTCAGGTCAATCACGGCCCTTAAATTGCGCAATATATCTGTTCCCACAACGATATTGTCGAGCCAGTATCGATTAGGCATAGCTCTTTCCGACCCTGTATCTCCAACTGGGCCTGGAGTACACCGCGATCTACTGCTCCCATTATAGCCTTGTTTGACGCGACGGGCGTGTTCTGCGTAAATCATTTCTCGAGAGAACGTTTTTTTGGTATCCTTCTGGGCAGTGCCTCCGCCAGTGGCCCAATTTGCCGCATTGAAAGAAAACATTTCTGTTCTTTCTTACTCCGCAGTTTGCTTTTAGTGTTGCCACTTCTTCTGTCAGCTTTTTCAGGGCTTCAGTAACATCTTCCCGTGGCTGTCTTTTCGGGACTTTGTGAGTTTGGAGGGCCGAAACTTCATGATTTGTTAACTGTCTCACTGCTTCAGCCAACGTGAATACATCCATGACACACCCCACTTCGACAATACGCACCTTTTTCCGCAGATTGTCTGGCAGACTATCCACGAAGCGCTCCAGTAATAATTCCGAGCGAGCAACGTCGTTCAAAGTTGGCAGCGCTCGATCCAACAGGGCGCTCAGGGCCACAGCGTGCGACAGAGGGTCCGTCCCAACTCCGAGCTGCACCGTCTGCGAGCTCCGCAACGCCTTCTGGCGGTCGGCCGGGGTGTTGAAACCCGCAATCAGGGCGTCCTTCGCGGTGGCTCACTTCATCTTCTTCGAGCCTCTTAGCGCTGCTTCCAACACCGCCCGTGCCCGGTCCTTGAGAAGCGCTCGGAGGGCCGTCAACTTACCCCGGTCCAACCGTATTCCCTCCAGCTTCGCGACTTCTTCGAAATCCTCCAGGAACGCCCGCGCGTTTCCATCCTCGAAGGCTTCTGGCCATGGGACCCTCATCCTGATCCTGGCGACGACACCAGTGCTTTAATTCCAAAATAAGGTGCTGGTCGAGAGTAGTTCTCTATTGCTATTAATGTTTGAGATATGGTTAAATTATCATTCATACAACAAAATATCTCATTCGAAACCAGGTTGCAGAATTCCCACACGCACACAGGATATTTGATGGAACGATTCACTATTAGATGCGCATTCTTGTATTCACCATACCGAACATCAGCAGTTTGCTCCAACAGGTCTTGTTGATTTTT